TTCAGGACCCAGACGATGGAGTGGCCAATGCGCTCTGGCAGCTTCATCTTCTCAGGGACTCGCAGTTTCTTTGTCTTTCTTCCTCAGGGCCCTTTAACCTTCTCCTTGATACTGAGAGCTTCTTGCTATGAGGATGACAGTGTTTTTCTTTCTTCTCAGGGTGTGTAGGGGCTGCCATGGACTTGAGATGGGCATTTGGGTTTTGACTCTCTACCAAAGGGAATGGCTGGGCTAGGCAGCCACTTGTGTCTTGCATTTATTTTGTAGCCAGATGCTCACGTTCAGGCAACTGTCTTGTGTTTTTTTTCCAATGAGTGTCTATCTTTGATAGTTGTTTTTTTATTTTTTGGTTTTTAAGTCATAGTCATAACCATACCCTTCCCTTTCCCCAACTTATTAATATTTATTGTGCACAAAAATGCCTTTAATCAATCTAGCCTCTATTTTCAATTATCTTAGCCACACTTTGCTGATTATTGCTACATAACAGATGGGTATTCAGTAATAGGTACTTGAGCTTCTCTAAGTCTTGGTTTTATCTTTCATGTCTGAAAATATTTGAAGGAAACAAATCAAAGCAACATTTAATTTCTGTGACTCCACTGTAGACTCAACCACAAGGGATCCCTGTATTCTTGTTTTCTTTACATTTCTCCACATGTAAACAGCTTTAGTATTATTTCTTTCCTCACTATTTTGTAAGGATGCAACTTTCTGAATTTATGTCACAGCCAAACTCAAATACCAGTTACTGTCTGCAGTGGGAAGGAACAATTTCACAAAGCAGGATATCGCATGCTATTTAAAATCCAATTATAAAAGCTAATTTTTTTCTCTCTCAAGAAATGCTTTGTTTTGTTTAAGGCTGTGGTGCCTACCATAACAAAACGTACGAATTAAAACATATATTTGAATTCTTTAAGCAGAGATTAAACAGAGCATTTTTATGCTGTTCAACCAAGACACAATCTTTCTTAAATTAACAAATACTTGTCCCTCACAATAGAAGCTGAACCGTTTAGTTCACCAGTTTCTCAATACTATTTCTTATTCTTTTGCCCATGAAGGTCAATGGATTGAGGCCCTTAACTCATACCAGAAATGTATGAATTACATGTGCGTCCATGGAGACCGCTGCTTCTCAAGAGAACTCCTGTGGGCACAAGGTGTTGGGCAATGGGGCCCTTTGAGCAGGAACCTGTATTTTCAGAAAGAGGTCTGGCAGTCCCACTTCTGTTTGTCAAGAGGGTTCCTAGGGGCACAGTGCCAACCCCAGGATGAACTATTCTCAGCATCCCGGGTCTGTGCTCCTGATTTCTGACTATTGCCTGTTCCCCTCATCCTAGTGGTCCTCCCTAAAGTCTGGTCTGTGTCAGGCCTTCCTGCCTCCCACAGGTCATAGGACTCAGTGGCTGCACAGCCTTACAGAGCAACTCAAAGCTGTGTCCACTGAGGGTGTCTCCTGGCTGTGATGATGCTCCCAAGCACTTCAAAGGAAAACTCAAGGAACCGTTTCAAAAGCCACTAGCTTGCCTCAGCTCAAAGTTGAAAACTCAGAATCCTCCAGGGGTTATGGAGGAGTGGGAAATGGAGGACGTGGAAGATGGTAGGTGGGAATATGGTGGGCAGTGGGGTTCACACTCCAGGGGACAGGGAGCTGGGACGGAGCTCCTGCAGACTTTATGGTCATAGTGCGCTACAGGTGGTGGGGGACCAGTGTAGGGACACAAGTTTAAGTGTGGGCGGTGAGCAGACCGTTTTTATCAACCCTGTCAGTACATTTCTGAGACTGGATAGCTTCATTTAGAGACAGCATCAAAAGCCTATGCCTGAGGCACTTTCCTGAGGCATGGATCATAACATCCTTCTGAGGCCCTGCTCACATATTTATGTCCTACTGTTTCTCATGTCTATGAAATATGATGATTAATAAAACACAACTTAGGTAACAGCTCTAAAGAATTTATAGTAGCTGCTTGATTCCTTTTCCCTATTCAGTTGTTGTTGAAACTGCTATCTTGTGAGAGAATCAACAGAATGTTGACATAAAAAAGAAGTCCCTATACTTGAAATCTTTGATTACCATTTCTCCCCATAGATCTTGCAGGATTTCGGTGAAAGTTGGCTAATTCCACTATGTTTGAGGAACCTCCAATACAAGGACTTGACTGTCTTGCCTGAGGCACGCTGTTATGTCCCAGACCCCAGGTTTTCCATGAGAGAAAGCAGTGCTGCATTAATTCATTCAGGGACATTCAGTGTGCCAGGCACTGGCTTAAGTACCAGAACAGGGTGGTAGACAATGGCCTCCACACTAGAAACCTCAGGAGGAAGCAAGTGGAGGGTTTGGGTCAGTTCACTAGTGGTGAAGGGGTAGGAGGTGGGGGCAGAACCAGTGTTCTCCTCCAAGCCCCTCCCCTGCAGTGAGGTGGGGGGAGGCGGGGGCTGGCAGCTGGACTTCTGACCTTCACACACGTGGCCCTGAGCGAGCACAACTAACCCTCGGATTGAGCCCGGGTGGCCTTTTGTTTAGTGCAAGACCTGGGTTTAGTGCACAGAAATGCCAATAGTAAGAAGTTAAATGGCTTAAGAACATGGTCCGGATTTCCAGGCAGGAGTGGAACAGAGCAGAATGGAATGTGAGGCTGTGAGCTGGTGCCTTGGCTTGGAGCAGAGACACGAAGCGTCTCAGGATGACGAGGCTGGCTGGCAGCCTGTGGATGCAGGGGCAGTTTGTGTTCTCAAGGTGGGGAAAGACTATACTTCAACTCAAAACTCAAAGGGAAAAATGGCTTTTGTTTCCCTAGTGACTTCTGGAGACAGGCACAATTTTTGCACTTCTCCAAGGTCATGGGTCTTCTCCTAGACCAGTGCTGCTTAAACTTGGATGAGCGTGTGACTAATCGGAGGATCTTACTAAAATGCAGGTTAGGTTCGGTAGCTCTAGGCAGTGCCTAAGATTCTGCTTCTAACAAGCTCCCTCCAGGGATGCTGAGCCGCTGCTCTGGGGCTTGCTGGTCTGCGGGAGGTGCTTTGAGGAATGGGCCTGGAACCCACCTGGTGGCCTGGGAGTGGGAACTGGCCTCACTTGCTTTGTGGAAGGCATGATCCCTGCTTCAGCCACACTTTCACCCTGCAGTCGCCACATTGTCTGCAGTGGCATCTCCTTCTCTCAAGGGTCTTAGGTAGTTTAAGGGGATATTGCCAGAGAGTGTGTATTGGTTGTTGTGTTTAATTATTAAAAAAGGTCTATGTGGTACTTTGCAATACATCTTCAGGGCAGAATGCTAGTAGTAGCTGTCATGCAAATTCAAGGTCTGCTTAATCCCACCTCACTGCACGGCATTGCCTTGACCCACAGACCTGTGGTCTCGCATATAGTGGGGGTAGTTCACCATAGTCAATGCTGCAGAAAGCTTTTGACAACCCATCATGAAATGATGAGCTCGTGTTGTGCCCAGTGATTTAATCCTGCAGCAGCCTCTTTAAAATGGATGGGTTACAGAATAAACCTGTGAAAGGGACTAAATCCATTTGTTATATTCTGGGCATTGGCTCTCGCTGTCATTATAGTTGGTCATTTGGGCCTCCTGGCTTAAAAACAATTATAGAAATCTAAAAGCACATTTCCTTTTGACGTTTTGTTATTTTGGGGCTACATCAAATGGGTTCTCTCAGAAAGGAAGTAAAGGCTCAAGGTTCATTCGAAATTAAACTCAAAGTGATTTCAGGAAAATTGAGGGTTCATTTCACCATCTGGGTTTAAAAGCCCCAGTCTTTCATTCAGTGTGGTGCATCCAAGGCCAGCAAGTGGCTTTTTCATCCATTTCCCAAGCTGATGGTACTACTTTCTAATGAAAAGATAACCATGTAACACGGACCACACTGATCTTCCAAAATTATTTTTAGTGGATTTGGAGGAGAGGCTCGCTTAATGTTTCTTCATTTATTCTTATAGGTCACATTCCATCCCCCAAACATTCCATGGGTCTGTCAGCAACTTTGATTGAAGCAGAAATTTATCTTATCAAATATCCTGATGAGGGCTTGGAAGAGTCTTTGCTGTTAAAAAGGTTTTGTTGTCATGGTACTTATCTAAATCAGGTTTGGCTGGCTGACACAGCTCTCACTCATAGGATTCTAGAAGGAAAACCAATCTAACCAACTTAGAAATCATCTGATCCAACCAACTTATTTTACTGCTGAGGAGTTTGCCAAGGTCACCCGGGCTTGTTTGAACCCCAGTCCTGGGCTCCCCGCCATCTCCCACAGTGCATTTCTGTGTTGATTTATGGATGTGATAAGATGGCTGTGAGGCATGTTCTGTCCGATGCCATTCATTGCGTTTCTCTGCCATGCAGACCCTGCCTTCTAGCAGAGTCTCAGAAGACTCACCAATGCTCTGGGGAGAGGAAATGGCACAGTAGGAGCCCAGGCTCTACAGTTTGGTGTTCTGGAGCAAATCCTGCCTTGCTCTATAGATGTGTGACTTTGAGCAAGCCGCTGAGCCTGTCTGTGCCTCCCTTTCTTCAGATGTGAAATGGAGACTTTTCCCACAGGATAGTGGAGGAATGAATACCCACAGAGCAGTTGGAGCAGTCAGGTGCATCATATGTGGATTTGCAAACTATGCGTTTCCACTAGGTATTGAGTTGTGAAATCAGTGTTATGAATCATAAATAGCATTAGAAAAAATTAAATGGCATATAATTTAATAAGATAGAACAAATTAGAGTGCTCTGCATGTATGGTGTTCCTTTGAGGTGTGTTTGTGTGTAATGGCTCATGGTGTTCCTTTGGTTTTGTGTGTGTGTGTGGGGTGTGTGTGTGTGTGTGTGTGTGTAATGTATTTCTCACTGCAGATTTTAGGTCGAGTTTGGAAGCCTCAGCTGCAGGAACTAGAGTGAATGGATCCATTCTCTAAGCACAGACCTATCGCATGTTAGCATGGATGCACAAGGTGAGCTCTGGCTGAAACGTCAATGTGTTTCCTTTGCAGAGGGAGACCAAAGGGCAGTTTCTTATTGACCACATCTGCAACTACTACAGCTTGCTGGAGAAGGACTACTTCGGCATTCGTTACGTGGACCCAGAGAAGCAGCGGGTAAGAGCTGACCTCTGTCGGGACACATTTGGGGGAGTCACTCAGGCTGTGGGGTGCTAAAGAGTTTCCTCTCAGAACAATCGTGATGCATTCTTGTTCTCATGGTTACTGATGGTTGACCACATGAAACTGACCAGTCTGGGTGTGTGTGTGTGTGTGTGTGTGTGTGTGTGTGTGTGTGTGAGAGTGTGTGTGTGTGTGTGTGTGTGTGTGAGTGTGTGTGTGTGTGTGTGAGAGAGAGAGAGAGAGAGAGAGAGAGAGAGAGAGAGAGAGAGATCGAGAGATCCCACTGGACTGGGTGGGGCAAGAGAAGAGAACACCTACTTAGACCTTTTCAGGAGTTGCTCCCACCTGGTTGAAGACAAAATGTTCCCGTGCCCTTCAAAACGTCTCACTACAAAAAGCTACTGGTACATGGGAGACTGCGTAATGGGTACAAGGTTTTCTTTTGGGATAATGAAAACATTTGAAACCTGATAGGTGGTGGCTATACAACATGGTGAATATACAAAATGCCACTGAAATGTACACTTTAATTTTATGCCCCCTCAGTTTAAAAAGCTTTGGCAGATGAAGGGTTAAGATACTTTGAAAGCTGCTCCTTGGGACCCACTATATTTGACAGCCTTCATCATATTCTTCCTCTTAGACACACCTGTTCTTTCTGGCTTCTGTTGATGCTTAAGAGTGGGCAGGGGAGTCTTGTCTTTGAAGTAGTGTACCAGCCTAATTGTGTTCAGGCACGGGATGTGTCACAGTGATGTATGCTTCTCACATCCAAAGGCCCCAGGAATCTCCACCTCAGCTCCCACTACCTGGGGATTCCCCTTCCACACTGCTGCTGTGGATCCAAGATATGGGTTAGGAGGCTCTGTATCTGCTTGTTACCCTGTCACACTGCCAACCGGGGCAACCTGGGAGAGGCTCAGCTGGGGGTGGGCAGGGATAGGAGGACAGGGCCCCTCAGACTTCTTTAATTTTCTTTCCTTCTTACCAGAGTCCCTGGCCATCTTCCTGGTCCTTGATTTTGTGTTGGCTGACCTAATGCAATGAGAAGCAATGAAGAAGGAGGATGTTTGAGGGATAGACTGGATTTTCTTCTGAAACATGGAGAATCTTACTAGGCTCTTGGAGTCCAGTAGGACCTAATCTCCTATAAAGGGATACAGTGTTGTGGCTCAGAAGAAGGAGGTTTTGCTTTCCTGTGGCACTTGCAGGAGCCCTTTAATGGGCCTAGCATTTATCTGAGTGAGAGCAAGGCAGGATGCGGATGTAGGGCTGACATGAGATCACAGAGAGGATTTGTGTGGCATTTACTACTGATTAACAGTGGTTCCCAGACCTGGCCCTGCAACAAAATTCCCTTAGGTGTTTGTGAACATGCTTAGTGTGGACCCTATTCTATATCTCCCAAATCAGAATCCTGGGTCAAGGGCCAGGAACAGGGATTCTAATACATTCTGAGGCTACTTTTGATACCGCCATCCCAGCTTTGGTCTTCTTTTAGTGTTGGGGACCATGGCATAAAGACATATAGACATAACTTCTAATGGCCTATTATGAAGATATTATCCTTATATGGAGAAACAGGCTCAAAGACATTGTTACTCATCCAAGGTCTCACAGCTAGTAAGTGATGGAGTGAGTATTTGAGTTAAGGTTTATGGTTTAAACTCTAACCCCTAAATGCCAAATAGATTCTGTGCACTCTATTAATCATCTAACCACCACTGAAAATAGTTTGGGCATGTGTGTGTGCAAAATTCCATTTTAAATTATAAACAGCCAACCTATAGAAGTCATTCTAAGTACCATTAGTTGAACATCTATAATGTGTCAGAAATTTTACTCACATGGTCTCTAGTCTCCACTAAAACACTGCAAGGAAGAGGGAAACTGAGGTACAGAAGGGGTCAGTGGCTTGCCGAAGGCCACATAGCTAGGAATTGTTGGAGGAAGGATGGGATTTTAACCCATTTTCTTTCCATTTCATCTCTCACATGAAAATTTGAAACACAGTCTAGATCAGGGATCTGTAACCTTTTTCTGTAAAGGCCCATATTGAAAATATTTTCAGCTTTGTGACCTACACAGCCTCTGTCGTAATTACTCAATTATTCTTTCAATTATGGAAAGCAGCCATAGATAATATCCAAAGTAATGGATGTGGCTGTGTTCCAAAAAAAAACCTTTTTTTCCCAGTAAAAGTGTTTTACAAAAAATAGGTGTTTGGCCATAGTTTGCTGACCCGTTGCCTAGAGTCCTAGACAATAGCTGGAAATGACTTAAATGCATTAGCCCTTTTCATTTCTCTTCACCCTCTCATTGGGGAGATGGGGAATAAAACATAAGAGAAGCGTTTAGAATTAGAGTTAGAGATATCAATATGAACTCATGATTTTTTAAAAAACATGCATAGATAGATATAGAAATATAGTGGGGCCTTGACTTACGAGTTTAATTCGTTCCGAGACCGAGCTCGTTAAGGAGCTCGTTAACTCAAATTACTCTATCAACTCAATGCAAAAAATCGGCTGAGAGACAGCTGGTATCTCAAAAAACTCGTTAGTCGGGACACTCGTAAGTCAAGGCCCCACTGTAAATATAAGTGTGTATATATGTGGGCTAGTATACATACATATATTTATAGGTTCTGTCCACCGAGATGGCCTCAAAGCAGTGACATCACAGTAGCAATGAGCACACCTAGCCCCTAGATCTTGGTTTCTAATACATTCTCTGATAAAAGTAACTAGGGCTCTTTGCAGAAATGGCTGATTCTAGGCCTGGCATAGGGAAACCACAAGATGACTCTGAAGCATCTTGTGCTGCCAGAAAGTAAGGATGTGCTCATGAAGCTAAAAGGTAGGGCCCTAGGAAAGGCACAGGGCCAACCTGAAAGAACTTCAGTGGCCCAACCTGGAACAATAGGAGCAGCAAAAATAAATAACAGTGTGGAATTATAATCCCTGGAATAAAACAAAGATCCACGAGTCCATAATGATATAAACAAAATAACTGCATAAATAAAAAGAGGGAGATGGGGCAGCTCGTCCTTACAGAAGAATTGAAATTAACAAATGTACAAGGAATGATAGAAATTGAAAACTGATGGTAGAACACCACAATAATAATTGTGGGCAAGGTCTGTGGATGAAAGCTAAGATTAGTGGACAAAAGCTTGAGGAGAAACTTGTCTCAAAGAATATGCCTCCCCTCATATTAGTTAATAACAAGGGGAAAAAGGTAACTCTACAGTGGAGAAACCTGGCAGACAACATTTTAACCAAGCCGGCAAAGCTAACATCTCCAATAAGAAGATATACCAACAGCCCCTACTCCTGATATCATGCACTGGGAAGGGCACAGTCTCTACAATGTTCTTCCCAAGAGTGCATAACCTCATTCAAACTCTGAGAAAACATCAGACAAACTGCAGTGAGAGACAGTCTCCAACGTGACTTACCAATATTCTTCAAAAGTGTTCAGGTCATGAAAGGCAAGGAAAGACTGGGAAGCTCACAATTTAGAGAGATGCCTCTATGGCAAGGTCGGGTCCAGGATTGGATTCTGGAGCAGAGAGAGGTGTCAGTAGTGGGCAAATTGGTTTAAGTCTTCATGTTACTTAATAGTATTGTGTTAGCATTAGTTTTTAAATTTTGACTATTGTACTGTGGTTATATAAGATGCTAACATTGGGGAGGATGGGTGAAGGTTATACTTACACCATCTTTGCAAGTTTTCCATCGGTCTGAAATTATTTTTTTAAGTTAAAAAAAGAGAAGTCTTTAGGTTGATGTGCTTCATTGTTCTTTATATTTTGACTTGGTTTAGTTTATTTTTTAGTGTTCAGAAATGGGTAGTAGATTAGTGGAAAAAATGTGGATCATGACCCCCAAAACAAACTGTCTTAATCTGATGTAGCCATTCACTTTTTAGGGGACTGCCTGAATCGTTCTGTTTTTCCCCCGAATCACACAACTATTATATAGCCTTTTGATTTTGAGGCTACAATGTGAGCATAGATTCCACATAGGTTTCTGAACAGTTGCTGCACGAAAATGCATAGACTTTGCACTCAGAAAGATATGAATTAAATCACATCTCTGCTGGTTAATAAGCTGTGTTATGTTGATCAAGTGACTGATCCTCTCTGTCCTGATTGTTAAAACAGATAACAATACCTACATGTAGGGTTGATATGGGAGTTAGAGAAAAGTTATACAAATGCTTAATAAATGGTAAATCCTGAGTACATGGTATTTATTTTTATTAATTACTATTATTGCTATGTATTGGCTAGGTGAGGCAATTGCATGAGGAAATAAGGCCATGATTAGCAAGTTAAAACCTAGAAATGCTAATAACTTCACTTAAAGGCAGGATGGCCATTATTATGATCTTCCGGAGAGATGAGGGAAAGTGACCCTTGGCTCATTAGAAAAATGGACTCAAAGGAACAGACACTCTGATATGAGAGTTTTAAGCAAAAATTGATTGACCAGCATTTTTTTTTAGCAGTTCATGTACTTCTCAATGGAAAATACAAACCAATGAATTATTTGGATAGAAAACTAGTCAACAGAGAAAATCTGATTCATTAGAAAAGCTGAAGTGGAACTTACCTCTGCTGTGGGAGTTGGTGGTTTGCCTACAAGCCTTCGCAACTTGGCTTATCAAAAACCATTGTGGAATATTCAATATTTAGCACTCTCTCATTTGAAACACCATATGTTTGACAAGATGTCTCATGCACCATATGCTCTGAGAGGGGTGAGGACTGGGTCAGTAAACGATGACTATCTTTTTCTCTTTTAATGGTAAGGGCCCAGAATTTCCATTTTTTAAATTTGAGGTAGGGAGGGGCAGATTGAATACTGGTCAATAAAAATCCCCTTGAGTTTCCATCACATTTGTCTTCTGAAGAACTCATATCCTCTTAGTTGCAGACGATGAGGGCTGGTATTCTCTTCATTTTACTATCGAGAAAGCTGGGACTC